CTTACGGACATCCAAATACTGCTCAAGGCAAAGAGAAGACGATAAACGCCATTTTCTTAGTCAGAGGGGATCATTCAAAGGAAGTGAAACAACTTAGAAGAACAACGTACACACCAACGATAAAATACACCGACAAGCAGCCCATAGTCACGCGCCTTTGGCGCGACGCCTTAGGCGCGGCAGTCCATGGTGACACGCCTAAGGCGCGGCAGCCTATGATGGCACGCCTATTGCGCGTCAGTCCATGGTGACGTGCAAACTACAGGGAGCTGCCGTGGCGGTTAAAAAAACAGTTATACGATGATTTTCAAGGTCCACGTGACGACATATCAGAAAAAGAACGTGTGCTGACGTGGACAAGCGGTTAAACCACAAAAAAAGTGGTTAAAAGTCGTGGGCGGACAGTTTCAAGCACGATGGGAACGTGGCTGTAACGGCCTCTTTGGCCGCGCCAGTCCATGAGGCGCCAATAGCCGCGGTAGTATGGACTGACGCGCCCAAAGAGCATCCAATTGATCAGTTATTTCGCCCCATTTTCGCTGTTGTGCACTCTTATCCCTATAAATACCTCCCTAGACATGAAACAAAGGACAGAGAGCAGATTGGGGAGAGCAATTAAGGCAGAGAGACTTGAGCTTTTTGTGAATTGGACCAAGAGAGAGTGTCTTCCTTCTTCACAAACATCCTCAAGAAGCTTTTGGCCATTCCTAGAGATCTAAGCTCTGACTTGATCTTTAGAAAAGTGAACATCTTACATCGATAATATATTCGCTTCAAATTCTTACTTCGATAAACGAAGGAAGAATCCCTAAAACCTTCACGATTCAATCAGAATCTGTGAATCGGTGGTCCACGGGTTAACGCACCCCCGGCACAGGCAAAGATCCCACACAAGCAGCGATCCAAACAACGATCCTGCGTTTGTTTCTAAGGAGCTTGTAATTTGATTTTTGTTATTGTAAAGAGTAGTTTTACAAAGTACGAAACTCACTTTTTTGCATTCATTATAATCGATAAACAGTTATAATGAATTCTACAACAGAACTTGTTCCTGACGCAAACAGTTTTTATTAATAATTATATATAAAAACCATGTTATCAATTTGGCGACAAGTATACCTCGGTAAATAATACATGCGGCACTACTTAGGCTTAATACTAGTAATCATATACGCAAAGGACTTCGTTATGGAAAATAAAAGATTTGGATTAGTCCTTCTATGTGGAGAAACAAAGGTATCGGAAAAGGGATTCAGATCTTTTTGAATAATCCTTCTATCAAGTAGTAGGGAAAATAAGCGTTAGGTGTATTTGAAATTTGTTAGCTAAATCCCAACATGTCTTGTTGAATTTTTTATCATTATCGAGAAAGATGTATATCCAAGATACACTGATTAGTAGGTGGTTAGTTCTTATCCTTATTCATGATGTTGGGATTATGTCTTTGATTCTTTGTATAACTTCATGTATTCGGATAGGATTAGAGATCTGTTGTGATTAGGACATGAGATTTCATCGTGATAAGGAGTTTGCATACTATTCGAACTAGGAAGTTAGCTTTATCTTTACATAGTCTTCTATTATTGAGGAAAAAACAAGTGGGAGAGCCACTTTTCTTATAATTAGCAGAGGGCGGAACTAGATTCAAGATAGTGTATGAGAGATGAGGGTTTTGCTACCTCTGTCCATTCAAAGGATTGCAATAGTGGGAGAAGAGCATTTAGCAACCTTTGATTGTCTAAGGAGAGGGCTTTAGGAGAGAATATGATATGGTGGTTATGCATGTGAAGTTGAGAGATTGAGAGATAAGAAATTGACGATTACCCTTGTAATTCTCTCAACATAACAAGTTTTCTCATATTGCATCCGGTGGATGTAGGTCAAACTTGGTCGACTGAACTACGTAAATCTCGGCATTTTTTTTTTGATTGAGAGTGTTTTCTATCTTGTGGATTGTGATTGGTTTCTGTAGGAGGAGAGAGTAAAATTCCCAACACATGACACTTGTGCACTAGGTATGGGACTGTTTATCCTTAGACTTATATTGCACTATAAAGAGAGATTCGATGTCTTTCTAGAATATAAGGTACCGTTTGGCAAAGGGTTAAGTGAGGGGTTAAGGAGACTTAACCCCTTCTTAACCCGCCAACCATAGAACATCTATACAAGGGTTAAAGTAAGTTAACCCTCCATAAATTGCCAAACATAAAAAACATAGGATGATTAAGCTAACCCATCTAGAGGGATTAAAATGAGTTAACCCCTCGAAATAAGGGATTTACTAATACTCATATTTAAAAGGATTTGTTGGATATCTTGACCCTAAAATATGTTTGTTTTGATAATAACAAATATTATTTGTTGTGTGTATTATGTGCTAACGTATGTTTTGCAGTATCAGAGCAAAATCAACAATGATATTCAAAGAGATACTCAAGATACAAGATGAGTTCAAGGCAACAAGACAAGCAAAGAAGAAGATGTGCTTCGTAAATTTGTATTTTTACATTTTCTTTGCTTAGAATTTATGTACAAGCATTGATCACTCACAACACATACACACACATAGTATCTAAAATACACTAACACATGCTTAGTATGTGATTAATTATAAAAATCACCTAAGTTAACCATTAGAGTTTATAGATAAAGAATGAGTCTCAAAACATATCATATATCTCATATCTATGTGTTAGTAGTCGACTAATACCCTTAGTAGTCAACTACTCAAGCCTTAGTCAAATTTATCAGAATCTGTGAATTTACAGTGTAGTCGACTAATAGGCTTTATAGTCGACTACTCAATGTCAGTTCAGAATTTCCAGAACTTCAGTTTTATAATGTAGTCGACTAATGCCAATAGTAGTTGACTACTAAGCAGTTTTCTGACTTCACAGAGTTTGTTTAGACTCAGTGTAGTCGACTAATCTTCCTTATAGTCGACTACAGATACATGTTTTTTGACTGTTTGATTTTTGAATACTTAAACGTTTATAGATGTTTTTGGACGTTAATTGGGGTTAAAATTCTGTTAATTCAGAGGCTATAAATAAGTTTAAATATTAGAAAAAAAATCAAGATTCATATACATTAGAAGTGATATTTTAGAATTATTGACTCTAAAAAGTGCACATTTTGTCAAGAACAAAAATAGAAAACTCTCTTACCATTTGTTCTTCAAACTAAAGATTGTTTAGGTAATATTCAGAGAGTTAAAAGGTTCCTAAGCCACTGCTACACTTCACTAACACTTCAAGACTTATAGGAATTTGTGATATATCTTTAAAGAAGGTTTCTCTCGGGTGTGGGAGAAGATCTCTTGGTTTAGAGATTGGTTACAATTGGCATGGTCTTGTCAATTGATGTTGCAATTTGCATTGTCTTGCAAATTGGTCAGGTTTGGTTTGATTTTGTATTTGGTTTCAAAATCATAGTGGAAATCTCAATTGAGATTTGCCTGGGGACTGTATGTACACCGGGGTAATGGAACCAATATATATCCTTGTGTTTGTGATTGTGAAATTTCTGTGATTGTTGTTCATTGTTATTGCAATTTATAACTCATCTTGCAAACTTGTTAAATAACACTAATCACCGCCCTCTAGTGTTTAGTGTACTTAGCCCATTCAATAATCCGAATGACTAAATTATTAACATGTTATATAAGTTTTATTTTAGTCCTTGTGATCAGTTTTAGTGTTTGGGAATAACAATGATTTTGACTATTTTCTTTAAAATTAGAAGGGTTAATTCTTAATCATTCTAAATTGGTAAACTCCTCATTTTGAGGGGTTAACTCATTTTAATCCCTCTAAAGGGGTTAGCTTAACATTTTTATATTTTTTATGTTTGGCAAATTATGGAGGGTTAACTCATTTTAACCATCATATAGATTTTTTATTTTTGGCGGGTTAAGAAGGGGACAAGTCTCATTAACCCCTCACTTAAACCTTTGCCAAACGGTACCTAAAGGATTAAGAGTTAACCCTTCTAATTATAAAAAAAATAATCAAAATATTTGTTATTCTCAAACACTAAAAATGATCACAATGACTAAAATAAAACTTATATAATGAGTTAATAATTTAGTCTTTCTGACTATCAAGTAGGTTAACTATGTTAATCATTCTCCTTAATCCCTCTTCTTTAACCCTTTTACCAAACGGGTCTAAATGATTTTTTTGTACAGTTCCTCCTATTCATGTACAGGAATTCTACCGTAGCGTAGATTGTGGCCGAACTCTTAAAGCAATCGGTTCCGCTATTTGGCTCGCGCTTTAACGCGCGACCCCCCTGTTAGTGCGCGAGTTGGCTCGCGCGTTAAAGCGCGAGCCAAAGAGCTTTTTCCTAAAGCAATGCACCATGTCTCTATCATAGTTGTTGAATATTGGGATAAACTCAAGGATCTCAATCAATTCTTGTAAGCGGAGACTAAGAAAAGGAACGATCCTAATAAATCCTTGTCATAAACTAGAGCATAAGAGAGAGACTAAGAAATGTGATTCTTACGGTGCTCGTAAAATCCACCGACATAATCATAGCAAAGTCCCTATATACCCATTCGTGTGACGAATCATGGAGGTGGATTAAAACGAGGGTAAACTTTATAAATTGAAAAAAAAAAAAAGCCAATCAACCTGAGGCTTTTTTGCACAAAATCTACCTGAAACATCATAAAATCACGGGAAAAAAACTCATCTGAACTTTTAAATGTACTAAACCACTCTGAACTATTAGAAAACATGTCCATGAATAGCGTCATAGATGCGGGGCAAAAAGGGAAAGACCTGATCGTTAAGTTCGGATCTCCCACAGGAACATTCTTCATTTAAATTTTTCATCAAAAATTTTAATTTGACAAACCTCTTATTATACACGCTAACATCGTTCATGAGATTTTCAACAGGTAAGAAGGATTAAGTGAAATTTAGACTCAAAATTAAGTAGAAGACAAGCAGATATACATGTCCCCTAAATCATCATGACACATGCGCATACGGTTAAAATTCTTCAGGGCGGAAAGCGAACAAAAGGTTCGCAACTCAACTTTCTTGCTTCATCTCATACTTACAATACAAACCACCACACTCTAATATTTACACTACTAACTCTGCCTACACAAATCCAAGTACTTAATAATCACATACTCGCATACATCTCAAAATTGCAAAAAATACATACAACTCAACCTTCACATAACCTTCACAGCCGTGCAGTGCAGATCAAACGTCAGCATCGAAGCCCTCGGCCTCGACGTTGGAGACCCCGATGCCGACCTCTCCAAAACCACCGCCGTCGTCAAAGCGCCCGGCGTGACCCTCTCGCACGTGCCGAGCCATTTGGAGAGCATGTACTTGGGCTTCCTCCAAGGCGCCAGGTGCATCTTATTATCCTTCATGCATTTCTTCGCTGCTCCGCACATTATTTTGATCACCTGACGAAGTCTCTCGGACTTCCCAACAAAGATTTCAGGGAGTTTGTCGATAAGGGTGTTGTACTCGGCGTTTGCTCGAGCCATCGCGAACTCCGCTCTGAAGTTGGGCTCGACCACCACTCGGATTGGGTCCTTTTTTGGGTGCTTTGATTCTACGACTACGTCTACGAAATAGTGTTCACCTGAGAGGGAATAAATTAAAATGGAGATATGATTAGGATTTT